TCAATGTTTTTTTTTTTTTTTTTTAAATTATCCTGTTGTCTGATTTGGAAAAGACTTCCAATACTATATTGAAAAACAGTGGAGAATGTGGACATATTTGTGTTGTTCTAGTTTTTAGCAGAAAAGCTTTCCATGTTTCCCCATGCAGTGTAATGATAGCTGTGGATCTGTTATATCTGACCTTTTTGTGTTCAGAGATGTACCTTCTCTATTTTTGAGAGCTTTATTACTGAAGGATTATTGTAATTTATCCAATGTTACTTCTGCATCAAATGACATGATCGTCTGATTTTTCTTTTGTTAATATGATGTATTAAACTTGTTGTTTTGTAAATGTTAAACTATCTTTGCAACCCTGCGATGAATCTTTCTTGGTTATGATGTGTAATCTTTTTAATGTATTGTCTCAATTTTCTAATATTTTTTCTTTGTTTGTTTATTTAAGGCTTTTGCCATAAGGCATGTGACTTGCTAAAGAGAGACAGTGAAAGGGAAAATGAGAAATCACCCTCCAGGGAGGATGAACACACTGAAATCCCTTCTTTTCCATTGCCCTCCTTGAATTTGGGGCATGCATCCACAGCCTAACATGATTTTCAAGCTGCCTGGTCCAGCACTCAAACCATGTTAGGCCATGTGGGAATCTAGTGTGGTAACCTCCACACTACCTGCTGGTCCCCAATTTTCTAGTATTATGTTGGGGAATTTTGCATCTGTGTACATCAGGGATATTGGTCAGTGATTTTATATTATTTTGTGCCCTTGTTTGCAATTGGTACCAAGATGCTATCTTTATAAAATGAGTTTGAGAGTGTTCTCTCCATTGGATTTTTAGAAATAGTTTGAGTAGAATTGGTATGAATACTTCTGTAAATTATTTGTAGAATTTAGCAGCTAATCCATCTGGACTTTGGCTTGTCTTAGTTGGGAGACTATAACTAATTCAATTTTATTACTTATAATATTATTGATAATACATTGCTCATTTTGTCATATGATTTTTAATTTGTTTCATATTTGAACAAGTTATTCAGAAGCTCCTATAAGCTGGTAGGATGTCCTTTTGATACGTTTCCATCATTAAAGAAAAATTACTGTCTGTAGTCAAGAATCTCAAGGCTGAAGTTTACACCAGGTGTTGGGTATTGTGCCCTAATGCAATTTAGTCCTATGGGTTGCTCCAAATTTGATCAAAACAAGAATGTATTTTGTGAGGAAGTAAAGCAAATCAATCTTGCATGCCATTTGGGGAAATCTTTAAAATCTTTAAAATCTTCCTAACAAAAATACAAATAATATCACACCAATAAAATCTATGATTCATTTGGAAGAAAGTTATGCTTTCTTTTGCTTTTTATTTTTGTTTTTTGGAGAGGTTTTTTGCTATAGTGCACGTGCACTCTCCAGAAAGACAGAAACAGAGAGACAGAAAGCAAAAAAGTCACCCATGGTGAATGACCATGCTGCAATCCCTTCTCCTTCATTCTCCTCTCGGGATCTTAGGCACACACACACACATGCACCCGGCGTGAGTTTAAGCCACCAGGTCCGGGACTCAAATCATGGTTGACTACATGGAAGTACAGCAACATAGCCATTACACCAACTGCTGGTACTGAAAGTTATGCTTTTTTGATGGTTCTAATTGATAGTATTTTTTAAAAAATCACTTTATGAAATTATTTTCAAGAATAAGTTCTAATGGAACTTTTTAAAACAAGAGTGTTAAAGAAAAGTGCTTTTAAAGAAAATGGAGAGAAGTACCATTCTTTAAGAGAGCCAGCTCTTGGAGACCTTGTATTCTACAATGCAACCAAACCAATCATTCATTTTATTCTAACATGCTTTTACAGAAAATCAATATTACAATTTTATCTTCTAATATACAAAAGTTTTGTACTGAAGAACAATCTCAGAATTAATAGAATGCAAATCTGTAAAGCTATATATACTGCATTTAAGCTGCCGGGTTCGGGACTCAAACTGTGGGTGACTACACAGGAGTCTAGTGACATAGCCATCATGCCAACTGCTGGTCCCATGAGATACTAATTCTTAACTAGGAGAGTAACATAGTTTTCATTCAAAGTTCTTTATATTTTCACATTAATTTTTAAATAAATAGCATTACTTGTCTAATGCAGGTAATATCTTTCTGAATACAACCCAGAAAGCTTGTTTAACTTGCTGATTTCTCAGAGTATAAATGAATGGGTTCAGTAAAGGGGCAACTGAAGTATTGAGCACAGCAACTCCTTTGCTTACAGTAACTCTTTCATTTGCTGATGGCTTTATGTAGATAAATATACAGCTACCATAAGTCATTGAGACGACAATCATGTGAGAAGAGCAGGTGGAAAAGGCTTTTTTCTTTTGCTGAGCTGATGGAAATTTTAGAATTGTCCTGATGATGTAAGAATAAGAAAGCACTATTAATAACAGTGTGACAATGAGTGTCATCACAGCTAAGGAAAATGCAATTAGTTCTAGTAAGTGTGTATCTGAGCAAGAAAGTTGCAAAAAAGGAGATATGTCACAAATGAAGTGATCAATTACATTTGAACCACAGAAATCCAGATTCAGGCCTAAAATTAGTGGTGGGAAAGTGACCAGGAATCCAGTTATCCAAGAACTCAGTATAAGCTGGTGGCAAACTTTGTTACTCATGATGGATGTATAATGCAAAGGTTTACAGATGGCAACATAGCGATCATAAGACATAGCCGCCAAAAGGAAAAATTCTGTAACCCCCAAGAATACATAAAAAAACAACTGAGATACACAACCATTATAGGAAATAGTCCTTTCTCTGGTTACAATGGTAGCGAGGAATTTGGGAATGGAAGCAGTAGTGAATGAAATTTCCAGGAAAGAGAAATTTCGGAGGAAAAAATACATTGGGGTCTTCAGATGAGAATCTAGCAGAGTGAGGGCAATGATAGTTACATTGCCTATCAAACACAGCATGTAATTTAGAAATAGAAATATGAAAATTACAGTCTGTAACTGAGAATTATCTGTTAGTCCTAGAAGAATAAACTCTATTTGTCTTGTTTTGTTCTTCATTTCTCTGTTATGGTTCAATCAAATTCTAGGGGGAAATGGTACAAAAACCAGAGTGAATATGAATAGATTTATATATATAGCAAAAGATCCATAACAGACTCCATATTTGAGAGAACTCAGTGCCATTTTAGGAGCTGACCAATGGGTGGAGCTTGAATTGGAGTGAGGACTGGACCATCTTCATTCTCCACAGTCTGGCAGAAGCAGAGGACACATCAGAAAAATGAGGAAGCCCCTGTGATTGGGGAAAAAATGAGGTGAACATTCACAGTGACTGAAGCCTACCAGCCCCCTTACACCAGAGATCTGTGTATCCTGCTGCCTCACCAGAGGATGGAATATGGCAGTATGCCTCCTTCCTTAAAAGAGACTGAGGAATCTGGACACTTACTCTGTGCTAGTGGGCTGGGCAGACCTGCAGTCTCCCTCTCCCTCAGAGACAAGGCTAGAATATGGGGAGTAGCTACTTCTCCGAACTGAGACTACCAAATGCACCTCCTTGAACTAAAAGTGTGGGCAAAGGAAAGGAAAGAAGGACCTGACAAAGAGGTGAACATCAGAGAGCCCTACTCTAGGTCAGAGGAAGGAAGACTGGGCACTGCCTAGACCACTTCCTGATTCCGCAGTTCATGAAGATCTGACAGACAGATCTGCCTCTGGTCCTACTTCAACAACCTTCCTGGGGCCACATACAGGGCCATCTCAATCACCAGATGTTCCATGTAGACCACAAAAGACCTACTTGAGTCTCACAGATAGGCTTGTCTATAGCTAAATTGGACGAACTGCCAGAGTTGCACTCAGGCTTAAACTCACGCCAGGCGCATGTGCGTGCATGCCCAAGATCCCGAGAGGAGAATGGAGAAGGGATTGCGGCATGGCCATCCACCCTGGGGTGGTGATTTCTCGTTTTCTGTCTCTCTGTCACTCTCTGTCTTTCTGGCAAACGCACGTGCCCTATAGCAAAAATCTCTCTCTCAAAAAAAAATAGAAAATTCAAACAGAGACCAGCAGATGGCACAGTGGTGACATCGCTGGACTCTCAGATGGCCAACCATGATTGATTGAGGTCCCAAACCTAAATCACAGCTTGAAAATTATGCCAGGCATGTGTGCATGCATGTATAAGATACCAGGAGGAGATGGAAGAAAATGGATTGTGGCACGGCCATCCCCCCGTGGGGTGATTTCTCACTTTGCCTCTCTCTTTCTCTGTCTCTGTCTCTCTTTATCTCTCTTTCTCCCTCTGTTGAGTGCATGTGCCCTAAGGCAAAAACCTCTAAAAAAAAAATTAGAACAGCATAGAGGAAATTCTTGACACCATTAAACAGCTGAATATTCCCTTAATGGGTATTCCAGAAAGTGAAGAGATTGGGTAAAGGCATAGAAAATCTTTTTAATGGAGACATACAAACACCCAGATACAGGAAATACAAAGGACACCAAATAGAGGCAACATAAGAAGATCCTCTCCAAGACACATCATTGCCAAATGGCAAAAGTTAAAGACAAACATCATATTCTACAAGTAGTAAGAGAGAAATGTCAAGTTACTTGCAAAGGATAATCCATCAGACTAACCTCAGCAGAAACCATGCAGTCAAGGAAGAAATGAAAAGACTATTTAAAATACCAAAAGACAAAAATTTCAACCAAAAATACTATACATGCCAAGGTTATATTTAAATTGGAAGGAGAAATAAAATCATTCTCAAATAAACATAAACTGCAAGAATTTGTCAATACTAGATCGGTTCTTCAAGAAATACTTAAGGGAATAAAACATCGGGAAAATTAAAGGAAGACAAATAGAAACAAGAAGACACAAAACTACTAAGAACAATAACTAACAAAACAGCAGAAATAAGTCTACACATATTAAAATAACATTGAATGTTAACAGATTGAATTTCTAATAAAAAAGACACAGAGTGACTGAATGAGAAGTTAAAAAAAAGAATAAGAAAGAGCCTACCATATGTTACTTACAAGAAATACACTTCATTGATGAAGACATACGTAGATTGAAAGTGAAGGAATGGAAAATGCAACTAGGAACCACAAAAATATGCTACAGTCATGAACTGATATCAGACAACAGACTTTAAGCTAAAAACTGTACAAAAAAGAAAAAGAGGTAACTATGTAGTATTAAAGGAATGAATAATAAAGGAGATATAATAATTATGAATATTTATGCACCAAATATCAGAGCACCCAAATATATAAAAACCGCACTGCTAAACCGTAAGAGAGAGAGAGACTGCAACACACTAATTGTTAGGTATTTCAGCACCCAACTCTCACCAGTGGAAAGGCCACAAAGACAAAAATATAAACAAAGAGACATAGGAGCTAAATGATATCATAAACTATTAATAAGGGATCTGACAGACATTTACTGAACACACCATCCAACAACTACAAATATACATTTTTCTGAGCCCCATATGGAACATTTTCAAAGACTGACCACATATAGGGCACAAAACAATATAAATTTAAAAGTATAGAAATCATATCTAGCATCTTTTCCTTTTTTAAAAATATATTTTATTTAACTGTATTTATTTTTTTCCAGTTTGATCAGAGACAGGCAGAGAAAGAGAGAGAGAGAAAGTGAGAAAGCAAGCCATCAGGTCCAGGACTTGAACTTCAGTTGGCTATGTGGAAGTCCAGAGCCTTTAACCACCACACAACAGCCAGCCAGATGTAGCATCTTTTCTAGCACAATTGAATTAAACTTGAAATCAACAACAGAAAGAGCCTTCAAAAATACAAGAGTATATTAAAACTGAACAATTTATTCCTGAATGACTTCAAAACTGAAGAAATTAAAAATGACACTTCAATATTTCTCGAAACAAATGATTATGAAAACACAATTCTCCATAAATAAACTGTGATGTGTTTGATTTCAATGGAATATGTTGCTGTAAATAAAATAGTAAAACTATAGCAACATGAATGAATCTTAGAAACATAACACTAACTCTAAAAAGAATGTCCCAGAGGGTGACATGAAATTCAAACCATATATACAATACCATTCTATATACAATACAATATGATTGACAGGTGATACATTGATAAAAGATATGGCTACAGACCAAGAAAGAGAAAAGAGTAAACAAAGTGTGTGTATGTGTCTGTTTGTGTGTGTTGCATGTGTGAGTGTCTCTTCATGGATATGTGGATACAGGAAAATATGCTTATTATAAAAAAGTCTTATCTCCTCAGTGATTATTACCATCTTGGATGCCTAAATATTTCCAGTAACTACATATGCAGAAAGAAAGTTTGAAATACTGGGGCTGGCAGATGGCATGGTGGTTAGAGGCACTGGACTCTCACATGACTGACTGTGGTTTAAGTCCTGGACTGGGCGGCTTACTTTCTCTAACTCTGCCCCCACTTGCTCTGTCCCTCTCTGGTCAAATCAAAATAAACAAATAAATAAATAAAGTTGAATAAAATAATTCTTAAAAAAAGAAATTTTGAAATATCAGAACACATTTCAAAATATTTTGGTATAAATTTATGTCAGAAATTATGTTGAAAGCACAATAAAATTAATGCAATATGTGTTACAGACTGAATTTTATTTTTAGCTTAAATAATACAATAATGGTCAAAAATAGTAATAGTGTATTTTTTTGTTATCCTATTAACAGTATGAAGGAGTAAAGCAATATTTTAGAGGATGTAACTTTATACCTTATTATCCAATACAGATTCCTTAATTAAAGCAATATTAAGATTTCTAAGAAGAGTAAGACCAAGGGATCAGATAAATAATACAAATATTTTATCTATATCTATATCTATATCTATATCTATATCTATATATAAAATAACTGGATAAATTATAGAATTTTGTAGAAACCAAACTACACACGGATGCTGACTAACACCACTGTTATTCAGCACCATTCTGAAATCTCTTACCAGCTAAACAAGGCTATACATCCTATACTTTATAAAATTAATGTAAATATTTTATTGGTTTTTAAAACAGATTTACTTGCTACTGATATAATTGGGTCCTGAGAATATACAATATAATAAACTGAAACTCTTATTACAAGAAGATAACTTAGTAATATAAACAAACAAGTTTCTAGAAAGGAAAACATTTTTATAATATATAATGCAAGATGTACTTTTCATAAAGACCAATGAATTGAACTCTCATGTTTTATACAAGCTAAATGGCATGGTATTGTTTACAAGTGCAAAATAGAAGGCTAATCTCATAGCCCAGCAGATAAGCAAACTATAGCCAACCACAATTTCAGTCCAGGCCCTAGAAGCTTGAAATCAGGGTAGACATATATGTGCATGAGTGCACAGGATAGAGAAATGATGAGGAATAGATAGTGGCAAGACCATACCCCATTGTAAGGTGCATCCTCTC